AACTAGAGCCTGCAGGACTTGTTTGGTCGATTGTGGTGTTAAAAATGATGAGCATATCTTTATCACAGACAGACCTCTCCCCATCTTTACAACAATTTAATCAATATGCCTGGACCATGACAATTTGCATTCTAAGGTGACACCAAGAAGTTAAGTCTCCTCAACTTGCTCAACAGCCACATCATTCATTACCAGATTCAGCTGAGGTCTAGAACTTAGGGAATGGTTTGTACTAAATGCAATGCTTTTAGTTTTAGATATGTTCAGGACTAGATTATTACTAGCCACCCATTCCAAAACTGACTGCAACTCTTTGTTTAGGGCTGCAGTGATTTCACTAGCTGTGGTTGCTGATGTGTATACTGTTGAATCATCAGAGTACATAGACACACAGGCTTTGTTTAAAGCTAGTGGTAGATCATTCGTTTTAAATAGAACAGTAAAGGGCCAAGAGAGCTGCCTTGCCACACTTTACATGTTTTAGATTAGAGAAGCTTCCATTAAAGAAAACCCTCTATGAATGGTTTTGTATTTGTAGAGGGCCAAACACATGTACGATGTATGTGTGTGTGTGAGTGTGTATGTGTGCACGTGTGCACACACGTGCTCTTGGCGTGTGTCCATAACCTTTAGATTAGTTTAGTTAGTGTTGGCGTGAGCAGAGGGAAATTGAGGTCTGCTAGAGGTATAGCAGCCTTTGTAAACACTTGGCCAGAGTGAGTCTTGTGTTGTGTACCACCATGGACGCTTTAATTGAAGTGGGCTACTTCCTTCCTGCATGCCTGCCAATTAGTAAAACACTCCTTGAGCTTTAAAGGGAGAAAACCCAAATGGTGCAACTGTCTAGAGGGTTCTGCACTGGATAAAAAGAAATAACTTCCATCCATGGACATCCAACATCAAGGAAGCAAATAATTAGTTAGTTAGGATTTGTTTTGCCCTGTTTTTGAACTCGTACCACATACGGTTTTATCAGGTCAAGGTAATGTGATTATGATGAAGCACTAAGAAGGGCTCGGCTCAACGCTGGAAGGCCCTAGAAAGGCCCTATGACAGCTCAACAGCAGAGGGCAGTATGTAGGGTACACAGTACTACTCAGGCCTACTCACATTTCAACTACAGTATGTCATTGTTTGAAGCTTTCTGTGACTCAAATCAAGTATGTTGTCTTTTCTGCAATGTTTTCTTGAAAAATATAAATTATTTCAAAATATGCACTGTATTTATTTTGATAATTATGATTCAACAACAACAAAAAGCCAGGACTGTTCTACGGGTAGTTAAATATCCTTTAAATTGTTATTGGTTTCAATTGGGTTGAGATCTGGTGACTGAGACGGCCATGGCATACAGTTTACATTGTTTTCATGCTCATAAAACCATTCAGTGACCACGCTTGCCCTGTGGATGGGGGCATTGTCATTCTATGGGGGCAAAGCCATGGTAGCCAAAATAATGACCAAAATAATGGCCTGCCCAGCATTTTTATACGTGACTCAAAGCATGATGGGATGTTAATTGCTTAATTAACTCAGGAACCACACCTATGTGGAAGCACCTGCTTTCAATATACTTTGTATCCCTCGTTTACTCAATTGTTTCCATTATTGTGGCAGTTACCTGTATATATACAGTGGGGAGAACAAGTATTTGATACACTGCCGATTTTGCAGGTTTTCCTACTTACAAAGCATGTAGAGGTCTGTAATTTTTATCATAGGTACATTTCAACTGTGAGAGACGGAATCTAAAACAAAAATCCAGAAAATCACATTGTATGATTTTAAAGTAATTAATTTGCATTTTATTGCATGACATAATTATTTGATACATCAGAAAAGCAGAACTTAATATTTGGTACAGAAACCTTTGTTTGCAATTACAGAGATCATACATTTCCTGTAGGTCTTGACCAGGTTTGCACACACTGCAGCAGGGATTTTGGCCCACTCCTCCATACAGACCTTCTCCAGATCCTTCAGGTTTCGGGGCTGTCGCTGGGCAATACGGACTTTCAGCTCCCTCCAAAGATTTTCTATTGGGATCAGGTCTGGAGACTGGCAGAGGCCACTCCAGGACCTTGAGATGCTTCTTAAGGAGCCACTCCTTAGTTGCCCTGGCTGTGTGTTTCGGATCGTTGTCATGCTGGAAGACCCAGCCACGACCCATCTTCAATGCTCTTACTGAGGGAAGGAGGTTGTTGGCCAAGATCTCGCGATACATGGCCCCATCCATCCTCCCCTCAATACGGTGCAGTCGTCCTGTCCCCTTTGCAGAAAAGCATCCCCAAAGAATTATGTTTCCACCTCCATGCTTCACGGTTGGGATGGTGTTCTTGGGGTTGTACTCATCCTTCTTCTTCCTCCAAACACAGCGAGTGGAGTTTAGACCAAAAAGCTCTATTTTTGTCTCATCAGACCACATGACCTTCTCCCATTCCTGCTCTGGATCATCCAGATGGTCATTGGCAAACTTCAGACGGGCCTGGACATGCGCTGGCTTGAGCAGGGGGACCTTGCGTGCGCTGCAGGATTTTAATCCATGACGGCGTAGTGTGTTACTAATGGTTTTCTTTGAGACTGTGGTCCCAGCTCTCTTCAGGTCATTGACCAGGTCCTGCCGTGTAGTTCTGGGCTGATCCCTCACTTTCCTCATGATCATTGATGCCCCACGAGGTGAGATCTTGCATGGAGCCCCAGACCGAGGGTGATTGACCGTCATCTTGAACTTCTTCCATTTTCTAATAATTGCGCCAACAGTTGTTGCCTTCTCACCAGGCTGCTTGCCTATTGGCCTGTAGCCCATCCCAGCCTTGTGCAGATCTACAATTTTATCCCTGATGTCCTTACACAGCTCTCTGGTCTTGGCCATTGTGGAGAGGTTGGAGTCTGTTTGATTGAGTGTCTTTTATACAGGTAACGAGTTCAAACAAGTGCAGTTAATACAGGTAATGAGTGGAGAACAGGAGGGCTTCTTAAAGAAAAATGAACAGGTCTGTGAGAGCCGGAATTCTTACTGGTTGGTAGGTGATCAAATACTTATGTCATGCAATAAAATGCTAATTAATTACTTTAAAATCATACAATGTGATTTTCTGGATTTTTGTTTTAGATTCCGTCTCTCACAGTTGAAGTGTACCTATGATAAACATTACAGACCTCTACATGCTTTGTAAGTAGGAAAACCTGCAAAATTGGCAGTGTATCAAATACTTGTTCTCCCCACTGTATATATATATATATACATTGAACAAAATTATAAATGCAACATGTAAAGTGTTGGTCCCATGTTTCATGAGCTGAAATAAAAATCCCAGAAATGTTCCAAAAAGCTTGTTTCTCTAAAATGTTGTGCACACATTTGTTTACATCCCTGTTAGTGAGCATTTCTCCTTTGCCAAGATAATCCATCAACCTGACAGGTGTGGCATATCAAGAAGCTGAGGAGTATTTCTGTCTGTAATAAAGCCCTTTTGTGGAGAAAAACTCATTCTGATTGGCTGGGCCTGGCTCCCCAGTGGATGGGCCTGGCTGCCAAGTGGGTGGGCCTATGCCCTCCAAGGCCCACCTACTGTATGGCTGCACCCCTTCCCAGTCATGTGAAATCCATAGATTAGGGCCTAATTTATTTATTTCAATTGACTGATTTCCTTGTTGTTGACTGTCCTTTGTATTGCTGTACATTTCAGAGGGGCTAACAGTATGCCCCATTTCTTCACTGTCTGACACACTCACCCACTGACCAAAACCAAAGACTCTTTGGTCTTCTTCCCAATCTGTCAATCAGACAGGCATGCCTAACATTCCACCTTCAGTCTCTCTGGGTTAAATTGGGTTGTCTTCAGTGAAATAATTAGAAATGTAAACTAGTCTGTTTGTGTGTACAGTATTAGATTAAAACAAAAAGTTATAATAAAATATTATGTCTAAATCTTGTTGTTTGTATTTAGAATATGTATTTAATGAATTTAACTTGTCTAGTTAGCAGGGACAATGCACATTCATCAGCATTGCTAAATCCCACCAATGTAAAAGTGACCAGGTAAGCTGTATATTTTGAGCATGTTTATTGTAAAATAACTCAATAAAAGTATTACAAAGGAAGATATTACAGTTTCAGACAATACAGGTATCTCTACGTAATGTCACTCATTTTCTGCAGTGCATTTCATTATAAACATAATGTACAGTACACAGAAATATACATTTACTACACATACAGCATTATTTCTTGTGAATATACATATCTTCCTTTTAAGAAAGCATTCAGTGCATTTTATTCATTGGAATAATATTCACTTTTGTATTACAGAATTACTAAATAAATATCAGTAATGGTTGGCCACTATTTTTCCAGCATTCAGATATAATAAACAATGTTTTAACCGATAATAATCAAATAATGTATATATTTGTGTTTACTAGGGTTATTGTAGTAGATAACAATAAAGATAGCTGAATTCTCATTGGTCTCCTGGATTCCAGTATGTAGTAGGAGTACCGGGAGTGCTTTATGTGGCATACGTGCCCTGCTACTGTTGTGATCATTTGTGCAAGTCTCTTCAGTATTGATCCTTCAAATACTTATTTAAAATACTGGGATTACTCCTTAATTTCATCCTGAAATGCTACAATACGCTACACCCTTCTTGAAGCCCAATCATGGCATACATACTAGTATACACATTAACACAGCACTACACCTGCCTTAGACAAGGAACAAACCTTGATGTACAGTCCTTGTAGAAGAAGAGATGTTTTTTCCCTGGTCTGTATTGTGCATGTTACTGCACATCAGTTCATCTTGATGTGTAAAATGGCCGACCAACCATCTCACACCCAAACGGTATTAGTGTTTTCTGGAGGTTGCTCCTGTCATGAACAAAAACAAGCATGTTCACAGGTTATGGCTACTATATTACCATAGCTATTGAAACTGTATTACTGTATAATTACTGTATTACGGTATTACTGTAAATGCTTTCTTCATCAAGTCTTTACTTCTTGTCATTGCTTGTGTTTTGTACCTTCTGTTGTTGGATGTACATCACAGCATCATGGACCGTAACAAAGATGTGTTGTGGGTTCATGTAGTTCATCAGTCCACTGGAGGTTAGAATCTTCAGAACACTCTCTGTAGGGAAGAGGACCTTCTGTCAATGTTCTAGATCCCTCAAATTCAAATCTGGACCTCGAAGCCAGATCCACTGCTTTGTTATATTATTCCCCTCTAATCAGGGACTGATTTAGACCTTGGACACTAATTGGGTTCAATAAATGATCAGGTAGAACAGAAAACAAGCAGTAGTCAAGGCCTCATAGGGTAAGGTTTAACATTCTAGAACTTCTGTCAGTGTTCTAGATCTAGAGTCTGAACATTCTCCATTCAACATAACATCACACGTAAGACTCCTGCTAAAAATACATTTGGATTACTTAACTTATTGCTATTAAAATTATCGTTATACATTACTTTGTTGAACTTACCATTGCAATTGGCCAAATATATGCAAACCCCAACTTTCTGGCAATCAATACACATCTGGAAAAAGAGGCATCATTAATTCCACTGATACTAGAAGTAAAGATACAGCACAACATAATCCTATAGAATTTACTTTTCTCACCTGTATGAAGAGTCTGGCTCCAGCAACATCAACAAAAATCACACTGCTGCAATCTATTAGTACTGCCTGGACCTCACTCTCAGCAGTTTCTGTAGAGACAACATTATGCATTAGTTCAGTGTATTAATGGTAGAGAGTTAAAGGCCCAATGCAGCCATTTGTATATCAATAAATCAAATCAAATCAAATCAAATCAAATTTTATTGGTCACATGCGCCGAATACAACAGGTGCAGACATTACAGTGAAATGCTTACTTACAGCCCTTAACCAACAGTGCATTTATTTTAAACAAAAAAGTAAGAATAAAACAACAAAAAAGTGTTGAGAAAAAAAGAGCAGAAGTACAAAATAAAGTGACAGTAGGGAGGCTATATATACAATAGAATAAAGTGACAGTAGGGAGGCTATATATACAGGGGGGTACCGTTGCATAGTCAATGTGCGGGGGCACCGGCTAGTTGAGGTAATATGTACATGTGGGTTATCATTTCTGGGTAACATTTAAATACCTCACTGTAATAGTTTTCCATCAACATTTTATTTATTTATTGCTTTTTAGCAAAATAATATTTTTCAAGCAATACTTTTTCTAGGACTGTCTGGGAGTGGGGAGGGGAGAAACTTAAAACTGTTATTGGTAGAGAGATTTGGAACTCTATTTGTTATTGGTCTATTAACCAATTTACTGCCTGGTGACGTCACCATGGAAAACCGAAACTTTGTTGAACTTAGAAGGTCCTGTCTAGATTGTATTTTAAACCAGCAACTATCAGGAAATAACACTGATCAGATTTTTGCACACTTTTACAGTGTTAGTTTCATCGGCAATTGTTCAATATGATACAAAACACAAGAGAAACTGCATTTTGACTGCACTGGGCCTTTACAGTGCATTCGTAAAGTATTCAGACCCTTTGACTTTTTCAACATTTTGTGACGTTACAGCCTTATTTTAAAATGGATTAAATTAATCTACACACTACCCCATAATAAAAAACAGATATACCTTATTTACATAAGTATTCAGACCCTTTGCTATGAGACTCAAAATTGAGCACAGGTGCCTACTGTTTCCATTGATCATCCCTGAGATGTTTCTACAACTTGATTGGAGTCCACCTGTGGTAAATTCAATTGAATGGACATGTTTTGGAAAAGCACACACCTGTCTATATAAGGTCCCACAGTTGACAGTGCATGTCAGAGCAAAAACCAAGCCATGAGGTCGAAGGAATTGTCCGTAGAGCTCCGAGACAGGATTGTGTCGATGCACAGATCTGGGGAAGGGTACCAAAACATGTCTGCAGCATTGAAGGTACCCAAGAACACAGTGGCCTCCATCATTCTTAAATGGAAGAAGTTTGGAACTACCAAGACTCTTCCTATAGCTGGCCACCCGGCCAAACTGAGCAATCGGGGGAGAAGGGCCTTGGTCAGGGAGGTGACCATGAACCCGATGGTCACTCTGACAGAGCTCCAGAGTTCCTCTGTGGAGATGGGAGAACCTTCAAGAAGGACAACCATCTCTGCAGCACTCCACCAATCAGGCCTTTATGGTACAGTGGCAAGCGGAAGCCACTCCTCAGTAAAAGGTACATGACAGCACGCTTGGAGTTTGCCAAAAGGCACCTAAAGGACTCTCAAACCATGGGAAACAAGATTATCTGATCTGATGAAACCAAGATAGAACTCTTTGGCCTGAATGCCAAACGTCATGTCTGGAGGAAACCTGGCACCATCCCTACGGTGAAGCATGGTGGTGGTAGCATCATGCTGTGGGGATTTCTTTCAGCGGCAGGGCCTGGAAGACTAGTCAGGATCGAGGAAAGATGAACGGAGCTAAGTACAGAGAGATCCTTGATGAAAATCTGCTCCAGAGCACTCAGGACCTCAGACTGAGGCAATGGTTCACCTTCCAACAGAACAACAACCCTAAGCACACAGCCAAGACAACACAGGAGTGGCTTCAGGACAAGTCTCTGAATGTCCTTGAGTGGCCCAGCCAGAGCCCGGACTTGAACCCGATCGAACATCTCTGGAGAGACCTGAAAATAGTTGTGCAGTGTCCCCATCCAACCTGACAGAGCTTGAGAGGATCTGCAGAAAAGAATGGGAGAAACTCCCCAAATACAGGTGTGCCACTCTTATAGCGTCATACACAAGAAGACTCGAGGCTGTAATCACTGCCAAAGGTGCTTCAACAAAGTACTGAGTAAAGTGTCTGAATACTTACGTAAATGTGATATTTCTGTTTACTTATTTTTCATACATTTGCAAAACTTTCTACAAACCTGTTTTTGCTTTGTCATTATGGGTATTGTGTATAGATTGATGAGGGGAAAAAACAATGGCTGTAACGTAACAAAATGTGGAAAAAGTCAAGGGGTCTGAATACTTTCTGAATAGCCCTATACCCAGATTACATTACTGCAAACTATATACAGTACTTTAATCTATTATCACTCACCAGATTTAAAGATCTCATTCTCAGATGAAAATGATGTGTTTGCGACACCTCTCTCCTGAAAAAAATGACATTACCAGTAAGTTATAGAAAATATTTGTTTATATATTCTAACGTACACTACCGGTCAAAAGTTTGGACACACCTACTCATTCAAGGGTTTTTCTTTATTTTTTACTATTTTCTACATTGTAGAATAATCCTAGTACAAATTCCCTGTCTTAGGTCAGTTAGGATGACCACTTTATTTTAAGAATGTGAAATGTCAGAATAATAGTAGAGAGAATTATTTATATCAGCTTTTATTTCTTTCATCACATTCCCAGTGGGTCAGAAGTTCACATACAATCAATTCGTATTTGGTAGCATTGCCTTTAAATTGTTTAACTTGGGTCAAACGTTTCGGGTAGCCTTCCACAAGCTTCCCACAATAGGTTGGGTGAATTTGGGCCCATTCATCCTGACAGAGCTGGTGTAACTGAGTCAGGTTTGCAGGCCTCCTTGCTCGCACATGCCTTTTCAGTTCTGCCCACACATTTTCTATAGGATTGAGGTCAGGGCTTTGTGATGGCCACTCCAATACTTTGACTTTGTTGTCCTTAAGCCATTTTGCCACAACTTTGGAAGTATGCTTGGGGTCATTGTCCATTTGGAAGACCCATTTGCGACCAAGCTTTAACTTCCTGACTGATGTCTTGAGATGTTGCTTCAACATATCCACATAATTTTCCTTCCTCATGATGCCATCTATTTTGTGAAGTGCACCAGTCCCTCCTGCAGCAAAGCACCCCCACAGCGTAATGCTGCCACCCCCATGCTTCACGTTGGGATGGTGTTCTTCGGGTTGCAAGCATCTCCCTTTTTCCTCCAAACATAACGATGGTCATTATGGCAAAACAGTTCTATTTTTGTTTCATCAGACTAGAGGATATTTCTCAAAAAGTACGATCTTTGTCCCCATGTGCAGTTGCAAACCGTATTCTGGCTTTTTTATGGCAGTTTTGGAGCAGTGGCTTCTTCTTTGCTGAGCGGCCTTTCAGGTTATGTCAATATAGGACTCGTTTTACTGTGGATATAGATACTTTTGTACCTGATTCCTCCAGCATCTTCACAAGGTCCTTTGCTGTTGTTCTGGGATTTATTTGCTCTTTTCGCACCAAAGTACGTTCATCTCTAGGAGACAGAACGCGTCTCCTTCCTGAGCGGAATGACGGCTGTGTGGTCCCATGGTGTTTATACTTGCGTATTATTGTTTGTACAGATGAACGTGGTACCTTCAGGATTTGGAAATTGCTCCCAAGGATGAACCAGACTTGTGGAGGTTTCAATTTTTTTGTCCTGAGGTCTTGGCTGATTTATTTTGAATTTCCCATGATGTCAAGCAAAGAGGCCTTGAAATACATCCACAGGTACACCTCCAATTGACTCAAATTATGTCAATTAGCCTATCAGAAGCTTCTAAAGCCATGACATCATTTTCTGGAATTTGCTAAGCTGTTTAAAGGCACAGTCAACTTAGTGTATGTAAACTTCTGACCCACTGGAATTGTGATACAGTGAATTATAGGTGAAATAATCTGTCTGTAAACAATTTTTGGAAAAATGACTTGTGTCATGCAAAAAGTAGATGTCCTAACTGACTTGCCAAAACTATAGTTTGTTAACAAGACATTTGTGGAGTGGTTGAAAAATGAGTTTTAATGACTCCAACCTAAGTGTATGTAAACTTCCGACTCCAACTGTATTTTATATTTGAGATTCTTCAAATAGCCACCCTTTGCCTTGATGACAGCTTTGCACACTCTTGGCATTTTCTCAACCAGCTTCATGAGGTAGTCACCTGGAATGCATTTCAATTAACAGGTGAGCCTTCTTAAAAGTTAATTTGTGGAATTACTTTCCTTCTTAATGCATTTCAGCCAATCAGTTGTGTTGTGACAAGGTAGGAGGGGTATACAGAAGATAGCCCTGTTTGGTAAAAGACCAAGTCCATATTATGGCAAGAACAGCTCAAATAAGCAAAGAGAAACGACAGTCCATCATTACTTTAAGACATGAAGGTCAGTCAATACAGAACATTTCAAGACCTTTGGATGTTTCTGAAAGAGCAGTCGCAGAAACCATCAAGCGCTATGATGAAACTGGCTCTCATGAGGACCGCGACAGGAATGGAAGACCCAGAGTTACCTCTGCTGCAGGGATAAGTTCATTAGAGTTACCAGCCTCAGAAATTGCAGCCCAAATAAATGCTTCACAGAGTTTAAGTAACAGACGCTTCTCAAAATCAACTGTTCAGAGGAGACTGTGTGAATCAGGCCTTCATGGGCGAATTGCTGCAAAGAAACCACTACTAAAGGACACCAATAAGAAGAAGAGACTTGCTTGGGCCAAGAAACACGAGCAATGGACATTAGACCGGTGGAAATTTGACCTTTGGTCTGGAGTCCAAATTTGAGATTTTTGGTTCCAACCGCCGTGTCTTTGTGAGACGCTGTGTGGGAGAACGGATGATCTCCGCATGTGTATTTCCCACCGTAAAGCAATGAGGAGGAGGTGTTATTGTGTGGGGGTGCTTTGCTGGTGACACTCTCTGTGATTTATTTAGAATTTAAGGCACACTTAACAAGCATGGCTACCACAGCATTCTGCAGCGATGCGCCATCCCATCTCGTTTGGGGTTAGTGGGACTATCATTTGTTTTTCAACAGGAGAATGACCCAACACACCTCCAGGCTATTTTACCAAGAAGGAGAGTGATGGAGTGCTGCATCAGATGACCTGGCCTCCACAATCCCACAACCTCAAACAAATTGAGATGGTTTGGGATGAGTTGGACCGCAGAGTGAAGGAAAAGCAGCCAATAAGTGCTCAGCATATGTGGGAACTCCTTCATGACTGTTGGAAAAGCATTCTAGGTGAAGCTGGTTGAGAGAATGCCAAGAGTGTGCAAAGCTGTCATCAAGGCAAAGGGTGGCTATTTGAAGAATCTCAAATATAAAATATATTTTGATTTGTTTAACACTTTTTTGGTTACTACATGATTCCATATGTGTTATTTCATTGTTTTGATGTCTTCACTGTTATTCTACAATGTAGAAAATAGTAAAAATTAAGAAAAACCCTTGAATGAGTAGGTGTTCTAAATCTTTTGACCGGTAGTGTACAAGATGTGATCTAGCCCAGATACAATGTGTAGTCTCACCACAGTGTTGACAGCCTCTCTTTCCCTCTTCTCCAGGGCCTTCCTGGCCTTCTCTCTACTGCGGATCCTCTCTGGGGTGAGGCCCAGCAGACGACTCATGTCCTCTCTGAAGAAGCTGCGGTTGCCGTAGTAGATTGGCCCGTTGTATGTCAGGATCTTTACACCCGGAACCTCATAGCACTAAGGAGAGGGGACAAAGCGAAGCAGGTTAACAGAGCACTCATCCCAAACATCACTTCTAAGGTGTATTTTGTTTAAAGGAGTACAGACAGAACTTTCTTTCCTTTCTCCCCCCCCCCCCTTTTTTTAAACATTTGAATAATTTAGAAGACGCTATAATCCAGTGCGGTTTACAATAAGTGCATTCAACTAAAGTAAGTTATCAGGTGTGTTTTCAAAGGGACAAGGTGACAAATCTACAGACATTGATCTAGAGCTCTTCTACCTGAGCCGTGCTCGACGGGCCCTGATTAATCGGGTTAGGGCCAGGCCTGTTTTTTTCCTCCATAACTAGGGTACGAGCAGGGCTCGAGGATCACTAAAGTTGATCACTAACATTTTGAAGCTGAGACATTTGCGCGTGCTCTGCTGCGCAGTACAGTCATATCTGACTAACATCATAACATGGTGTCAGAAGTGCTTCAACCAATATACAGTGAGGGAAAAAAGTATTTGATCCCCTGCTGATTTTGTACATTTGCCCACTGACAAAGAAATGATCAGTCTATAATTTTAATGGTAGGTTTATTTGAACAGTGAGAGACGGAATAACAACAAAAAAATCCAGAAAAACGCATGTCAAAAATGTTATAAATTGATTAGCATTTTAATGAGGGAAATAAGTATTTGACCCCTCTCAATCAGAAAGATTTCTGGCTCCCAGGTGTCTTTTATACAGGTAACGAGCTGAGATTAGGAGCACACTCTTAAAGGGAGTGCTCTTAATCTCAGCTTGTTACCTGTATAAAAGACACCTGTCCACAGAAGCAATCAATCAATCAGATTCCAAACTCTCCACCATGGCCTAGACCAAAGAGCTCTCCAAGGATGTCAGGGACAAGATTGTAGACCTACACAAGGCTGGAATGGGCTACAAGACCATCGCCAAGCAGCTTGGTGAGGTGGTGACAACAGTTGGTGCGATTATTCGCAAATGGAAGAAACACAAAAGAAATGTCAATCTCCCTCGGCCTGGGGCTCCATGCAAGATCTCACCTCGTGGAGTTGCAATGATCATGAGAGCGGTGAGGAATCAGCCCAGAACTACACGGGAGGATCTTGTCAATGATCTCAAGGCAGCTGGGAGAAAACAATTGGTAACACACTACGCCGTGAAGGACTGAAATCCTGCAGCGCCCGCAAGGTCCCCCTGCTCAAGAAAGCACAACGTCAGCCTCGAAAACTTAATGACTTGGAGAAGATCTGCAAAGAGGAGTGGGACAAAATCCCTCCTGAGATGTGCGCAAACCTGGTGGCCAACTACAAGAAACGTCTGACCTCTGTGATTGCCAGCAAGGGTTTTGCCACCAAGTACTAAATCATGTTTTGCAGAGGGGTCAAATACTTATTTCCCTCATTAAAATGCAAATCAATTTATAACATTTTTGACATGCATTTTTCTGGATTTTTTTGTTGTTATTCTGTCTCTCACTGTTCAAATAAACCTACCATTAAAATTATAGACTGATCATGTCTTTGTCAGTGGGCAAACGTACAAAATCAGCAGGGGATCAAATACTTTTTTCCCTCACTATAAGACAGGAGAGATGATGTCACAGAAAATAATAATGTTCCTTGAGTTTTGTCGGAGTTTAGAGTGACAAAAAGTAGCTAACAGCTAACCGCTCTCTCATGTCTCTTCATTGAGCAGAGCAGCCCAAGCGGAGGCTTTGCTATGGATAATCACAGACTCAGAGCCGCATGAAGAGTGAGCTGCGCGCGAGTGACAGACAGTGAGGAACAGCTAATGGATTTACTAATGGAGGATGTGATTTCTGATTTCGGGTTACGGGCAGAAGCAATCGGGCCTCGGTAGGGTAGGACCTGAACGTCGCGGGCATGGGTAGGGCTCGGGCTTAAAATTCATGCCCATGCAGGGCTATACATTGATCACTATCTGAAACGATGATACTAATGAGGGTTTCTCAAGATTGCATCACATTAGCACTTTTTACTTCACATCTACATCAAGAATCACTGGAAGTATTTGCATTGTATCTCTCCAGTGTGTTCCGGAGAATTCCTCTCACCTTGTTGTGGTTCTCTAAAGGTCTGTAGATCTCTGTGTTGCTCGCTCTGCCCAGCACTGAACACCCAGCCCTGAGGAAAACAATGTTATTATTGTGGGAGTGTATACATACACTGAGTATACCAAACGTTAGGAACACTTTCCTAATATTGAGTTGCACCTACGGCTGTGGCGGTCACGAAATTCACAATTTGACAAGCCCTTGATAATGCCTAGAATTTCACGGCGGCATCCCCTTTGTGTGGCCATAATGCACCCCAAACAAAATCCATGCCTTTTGCGGCCAGTGGCCGTTGTGCCCTTCTCGCTGAGTGCTGCGTGCTCCATCACGTGATCGGGTCTTTCTCACAGGCTACAAGTGAAGACAGACACATCGGGGACGCAACTGCGCGCGTCCTTATCCAATTCCGAGGTGCAAATTGAAGATATTGGAAGAACTATCCACATTTACTTTTCATCAGCCAACAAGATGAGTAGGCCTAACGAACAGCAAAAGCACTAGCCTATGTCAATGTCCTATCCCCCATAGTACAAAGGTCGACCTATTCTATTCTGTGCAATAAATAAATATTCCAAACATAGTCTGGGACAGTTGTGGGATGCGATAGATCCCAAAATAATAAAACCACTAGCATTAAAAAAAAAAAATTACGCAATGTGGCCGACGCAACAGATCAGAACGTTTAGCTTAAAATGTTGATAAACTATTAGACTATTTCTTCACATTATAAGCGCAGCAATGCGCACATGGTAGTAGGCTATAAGCGCGAATGGTTCATTATGTCACGCCCTGACTCAGGGGACTCTTATATGTTGAGTCAGGGTGTGTGTATTCTTTGTTTGTATATATTCTATGTTGTATATCTAGCATGTGTGGATCTATGTTGGCCAGTGTGGTTCCCAATCAGAGGCAGCTGTCGCTCGTTGTCTCTGATTGGGGACCATACTTAAGCAGCATATTGGCACAGTCTAGTTGTGGGATCTTGTTCCGGTTAAGGTATGTTGTGTGTGCTACCTTGGACTTCACGTTTCGTTTCCTTTGTTGTTTTGTCGTGTGTTTAACAGTTAAAATAAACATGTCCGCATATCACACTGCGCCTTGGTCTGACCCGTCATTAAACGAACGTGACAGAAGATCCCACCAAACAAGGACCAAGCAGCGTGCCGAGAAGGAGCAAACGCCTGGGACTCAACAGGAGGTTGCGTTAGTAGATGTCCTCCTCGGTTGGGGGAGAATTACGGAGGAGGAGGCCGTCCGTTATCGGAGGGCGATGAAGGAGGATGCCCAGGTAGGAGTGGAGAAACGGCGCCAACAGTGCCGACGACGGAGACCCGAGAGGCAACCCCAAGAAAATATGTTGGGGGGGGCACACGGTGTGGACGACGAGGCAGCAGGAGGCCGTTAAAGGGCGGATCTGCAGGATAGGAGAGGAGGCCACCATGTTACGGGGGCTATTGGTTCAGATGGAGCAGGAGTTATTCGGTCAGATGGAGGCGCTACAGGAGGCTAAAAGGGAGAAGGAAAGAGGCACGGCGAGAGGAGCTGGTTAGGCAGCAGAAGGAGCGGGGGTTAACAAAGGAACCCAGTCCTGCAACTCGCACCAAGCAAGTGGTGCGTGTCGCCAGTCTGGTCCGGCCCATTCCTACTCACCGCACCAAGCCAGTGGTGCGTGTTCCCAGTACGGCCCGGCCCGTTCCTGCCACTCGCACCAAGCCAATGTTGCGCGTCGCCAGTCCGGCCCGGTCTGTTCCTGCTCCTCGCACCAAGTCAGTGGTGCGCGTCGCTAGCCCGGCCCGGCCTGTTCCTGCTCCTCTCACCAAGCCAGTGGTGCGCGTCGCCAGTCCGGCCCGGCCTGTTCCTGCTCCTCGCACCAAGCAAGTGGTGCGCGTCGCCAGCCCGGCCCGGCCTGTTCCTGCTCCTCGCACCAAGCCAGTGGTGCGCGTCGCCAGCCCGGCCCGGCCTGTTCCTGCTCCTCGCACCAAGCCAGTGGTGCGCGTCGCCAGTCCGGCCCGGCCTGTTCCTGCTCCTCGCACCAAGCCAGTGGTGCGCGTCGCCAGTCCAGCCCGGCCTGTTCCTGCTCCTCGCACCAAGCCAGTGGTGCGTGTTCCTAGTCCGGTCCGGCCCGTGCCTGCTCCTCGCACCAGACCAGTGGTGCGTTTGTCCAGTCCGGCACGGCCCGTGCCCGTTCCACCGGTGCCTGGTCCGGCACCAGTCAGCTGCTCCACTCCGGAGCCAGAGCAGTCCGCTCCACCGGTGCCTGATCCAGTGCCGGTCAGCTGTTCCACTCCGGAGCCAGAGCAGTCCGCTCCACCGGTGCCTGATCCAGCTCCGGTCAGCTGCTCCACTCCGGAGCCAGAGCAGTCTGCTCCACCGGTGCCTGATCCAGCTCCGGTCAGCTGCGCCACTCCGGAGCCAGAGCAGTCCGCTCCACCGGGGTCCAGTCCAGCTCCGGTCAGCGGCTCCACTCCGGAGCCAGAGCAGTCCGCTCCACCGGTGCCTGATCCAGCTCCGTTCAGCGGCTACACTCCGGAGCCAGAGCAGTCCGCTCCACAGTTGCCCAGTCCAGCTCCGGTCAGCGGCTCCAGTCCAGACCATGACGTCAGCCCCTCTCCAGGTTCGGGGTCTCCCACACCAGGGTCCAGACAGGGCCTGGCGTATCGTGGGAGGAAGGAGAGGGGAAGTAGCGCGCCGAGGACCAGACCAGGGGCGCAACAGGGAGGCGGAGAGTGAGAGGTCGTCACGCCCCGAGCCTGATCCGCCTCCGAGGCGGAATGCCCACCCGGCCCCCACCCTGTTATGTTTATGTAGTGCGGTCGGAGTCCGCACCTTTGGGGGTGGGGGGGGGGGTACTGTCACGCCCTGACTCAGGGGACTCTTATATGTTGAGTCAGGGTGTGTGTATTCTTTGTTTGTATATATTCTATGTTGTATATCTAGCATGTGTGGATCTATGTTGGCCGGTGTGGTTCCCAATCAGAGGCAGCTGTCGCTCGTTGTCTCTGATTGGGGACCATACTTAAGCAGCCTATTGGCACAGTCTAGTTGTGGGATCTTGTTCCGGTTAAGGTATGTTGTGTGTGCTACCTTGGACTTCACGTTTCGTTTCCTTTGTTGTTTTGTCGTGTGTTTAACAGTTAAAATAAACATGTACGCATATCACGCTGCACCTTGGTCTGACCCGTCATTAAACGAACGTGACACATTAGCGGAAATCACCATTATCAAAAGTGACCGCAAATGCAATTATGCATGTAATGCTTTTATTATAAAGTTGCATTTTTATGGTGAAAATTATCTTCCCCAAACTTTAAATTCACGTGCTACTTATGTATGCCAGTTAGGCTCTACATCCCTTGTGAAGCGGATTAATGTGCTTATTTTTAAGAAGTTATTTGGCCACTTCAGTGATACAAACCTTATTAAAACATACAGTACCAGTCAAAAGTTTGGACACACCTACTCAATCAAGGGTTTTTCTTTATTTTTACTATTTTTTATATTGTAGAATAATAGTGAAGACATCAAAACTATGAAATAACACATATGGAATCATGTAGTAACCAAAAAAGTGTTAAACAAATCAAAATGTATTTTATATTTGAGATTCTTCAAATAGCCACCCTTTGCCCTGATGACAGCTTTGCACACTCTTGGCATTCTCTCAACCAGCTTCATGAGGTAGCCACCTGAAATACAGGTGTGCCTTCTTAAAAGTTAATTTGTGGAATTTCTTTATTTCTTAAACCGTTTGAGCCAATCAGTTGTGTTGTGACAAGGTGGGGGGGGGGGGGGGGGGGGGGGGGTATACAGAATATAGCCCTATTTGCTAAAAAACCAAGTCCATATTTAGGCAAGAACAGCTCAAATAAGCAAAGAGAAACGACAGTCCATCATTACTTTAAGACATGAAGGTCAGTCAATACAGAACATTTCAAGAACTTTGAAAGTTTCTTCAAGTGCAGTCGCAAAAAGCATAAAGCGCTATGATGAAACTGGCTCTCATGAGGACCGCCACAGGAATGGAAGACCCAGAGTTACCTCTGCTGCAGAGGATAAGTTCATTAGAGTTACCAGCCTCAGAAATTGCAGCCCAAATAACTGCTTCACAGAGTTCAAGTAACAGACACATCTCAACATCAACTGTTCAGAGGAGACTGTGTGAATCAGGCCTTCGTGGTCAAATTGCTGCAAAGAAACCATTACTAAAGGACACCAATAAGAAGAAGAGACTTCCTTGGGCCAAGAAACACGAGCAATGGACATTGGACCGGTGGAAATGTGTCCTTTGGTCTGGACTCCAAATTTGAGATTTTTGGTTCCAACCGGTGTGTCTTTGTGAGATGCGGTGTGGGTGAACAGATGATCTCTGCATGTGTATTTCCCACCGTAAAGCATGGAGGAGGAGGTGTTATGGTGTGGGGGTGCTTTGCTGGTGACACTCTCTGTGATTTATTTAGAATTTGAGGCACACTTAACAAGCATGGCTACCACAGCATTCTGCAGCGATGCGCCATCCCATCTCGTTTGGGGTTAGTGGGACTATCATTTGTTTTTCAACAGGAGAATGACCCAACACACCGCAAGGCTGTGTAAGGGCTATTTTACCAAGAAGGAGAGTGATGGAGTGCTGCATCAGATGACCTGGTCTCCACAATCCCCCGACCTCAACCCAATTGAGATGGTTTGGGATGAGTCGGACTGCAGAGTGAAGGAAAAGCAGCCAACAAGTACTCAGCATATGTGGGAACACCTTCAAGACTGTTGGAAAAGCATTCCAGGTGAAGCTGGTTGAGAGAATGTCAAGAGTATGCAAAGCTGTCATCAAGGCAAAGGGTGGCTATTTGAATCTCAAATATAAAATATAATTTGATTTGTTTAACACTTTTTTGGTTACTACATGATCCAATATGTATTATTTCATAATGTTGATCTCTTCACTATTATTCTACAATGTAGAAAATAGTAAAAATAAAGAAAAACCCTGGAATGAGTGGGTGTGTCCAAACCTTTGACTGGTACTGTATAGGCCTATGGGCTAGGCTACATGAGGTGTTGTCACTACATATACTAAATAATGTATGTGTGAAATTTGATTTGATTGAGAATGGACCATTATCATGCACCTGTATTTAAATAAGGGCAGCGGGAAAAAATACATGTAATCTATGCACTTAAATAGCGAATGGAGGACGCTTTTCTCCGTGGTTTATTTTCATGCCAGCCAGGTAGGCTATACTCCTGTTGTAAATATAAGCAATGTGCTTAATATTAGGAAAGTTGAAAAATAAATATAGTAGGCCTAGCCTATAGAATGCTGATTCTCCTCTTTTCAGTAGAGGCCATCGCTCTGTTTTCTTGCGCAATTGCATAGCCTATTGAAATGTTGCGCAACCTGAGCTCATGGGCTCTAATGAAGTGTTTGATTTTCAAATATATTTGCATTGATGTCAGAGTGATTAGAGGGAAAATAGAGTGCTGAGTACCAGGCAGTTAGCAAGTTTGGTAGGCTACTGCCTTCATGACTCGTGACCGCTGGTGTGGTGGTAATACGGTCACCACAACAGCCCTAGTTGCACCCCACCCTTTTGCCCTCAGAACAGCCTCAATTTGTCAGGGCATGGACTCTACAAGGTGTCGAAAGCTTTCCACAGGGATGCTGGCCCATGTTGACTCAAATGCTTCCCACAGTTGATGGGGCGTCAGGTAGCTTAGTGGTTAAGAGCGTTGTGCCAGTAACCGAAAGGTCGCTGGTTCTAATCCCCGAGCCGACTAGTTGAAAAATCTGTCGATGTGCCCTTGAGCAAGGCACTTAACCCTAATTGCTCCTGTAAGTCGCTCTGGATAAGAGCGTCTGCTAAAATGTAAATGTAAGTTGGCTGGATGTCCTTTGGGTGGTGGACCATTCTTGATACACATCGGAAACTGTTGCTTGTGGAAAACCCAGCTGCGTTGTAGTTCTTGACACAAACCGGTGCAACTACTACCATACTGTTAGTCTGCCAACAATATAATGTTTAAATATTGAAAGTTAACTCTGGTTATGTTTACATTACATTTATTTAGCAGACACTCTCATCCAGGTCCCCTGTGGGAATCGAACCCACAACCCTGGTGTTGCAAGTGCCATGCTCTACCATTTGAGCCACATGGGACACTCTCTCTCCTTTTGGTGAGTGTATCAAGTTCATATCATATCCTAGAGGACCAACAGGTCTATGACGGATACTAATTTGTCCCTATGAGAGACAGTAATTCACTGTGCTCTACTCTAAAGACTTCAATTCTGGCACACAGCGGTCTCTTGAGAATTATATCACATTATTAGAAGGCATAATTATAGTTTTGCTGATGATTATTGTTGCTGATGAATGCACAAATCTAATTAATACAGATTTAATAAAAAATAGATGCATATACTGTAGATGTACACAGGTAGTTATGCATGCTATACATTGCTTACAAGGGAGCATTTAGCAATAGTAATCTGTACAGTTCCAACGGCTGTAGCTCTATGTAACCATTGATACACTGTGTCTGTGTTGTCTGTGTTGAGAGGGGTGAAGGCATAGCATACCTCTGTGTGCGACAGATGACTGTCATCATTGAGAAGACCACTCCAATGGCCAGACCCATATCGACATTCAGGACCACAACAGACAGCCAAGTCACCAGCCACACTACCTGCAACATACATACAGTACAGTCCATACAGGTTCACAAATATACAGTCCATATAAGGGCACAAAAAATACAGGCCATATAAGGTCACAAATATACAGTCCATATAAGGTTACAAAAAATACAGGCCATATAAGGTCACAAATATACAGGCCATATAAGGTCACAAATATACAGTCCACATAGGTTCACAGGGGTTGATCACTACACCACTTTCACTCAATGAGACAGAAGAAATAACCCAAAAGTGGTATATTGATACAAATCAAGGGTAACACGGACAGACTTACGAAGTCAATCTTGCTGACTCTCCAGAGGTCTGGCAGGTCCTGGAACTGTAGAAACATCTGTCTGAGGCTGGTGACATTGATACAGGCCAGCACTGCCTAGGGAGAGACGTAAAGCAGGGTGGATCAGGACATTGCGAGTAAATCACTCGGACGACGAGTGCACTTCGTTTCATTGATGTCATTTTGTTTGCACAAACTAGCTAAAGTCTGTTGTCGCAGTAAGTAGTGTATGCTGCCGCCTTTACAGTACCAGCGTTTAGTAGACACACACTGACTCACCTTGGGCAGGAAGTAGAACAGAGGTCCAATCAGCAGCAGAACTATCAGGACCACCAGACTGGTGAACAAGCCAGAGAGCTGAACGGACAGAGAGACAGAGAACATGAAATGACATAATATGAATGAATGTATCATCATGCCAGAAGCAAATGGTGAGGCAGACAAATAGGGCATCTAGAAAGTCATGCATATAGATTGAAGTAAAGACAAAGCCTGGAAAGTAGGCTAGATATAAAGTAGTGTGTACCTGTGTGAATCCCCCAGAACTCTCCAGGATGTTGGTGGTGGCCAGAGTGGCTGAGCTGGGGAAGCAGGTGAAGAGAGATGACACTGTGTTGGAGATACCATGGGCCAAGAGCTCCTGGAGAAACAAGAAAAACATGATGACGATAATGATGACGATGGCGGTGATGATGATGACGGTGATGATGATAATGATGACGGTGATGATGATGACGGTGATGATGACGACGACGATGACGATGATGATGATGATGATGATGGGGCGGCAGGTAGCTTAGTGGTTAAGAGCATTGTGCCACTAACCGAAAGGTCGCTGGTTCTAATCCCCGAGCCAACTAGGTGAAAAATCTGTCGATGTGCCCTTGAGCAAGGCACTTAACCCTAATTGCTCCTGTAAGTCGCTCTGGATAAGAGCGTCTGCTAAATGACGTAAATGTAAATGTAAATGACAACGCTTGTCCTTAAAGATGGACTTCTTTTCACAGCTCACAAATGACATACACAGAAGTCACATAGATTTGCTGAGAAAAATGAAACATGTAGTGCTTTGTACAAGGAGGCAAGATTTGAATGAGTGTTGAGTTTCCAGCATTACTGAATCATATTAGTAGAGGACCACTGTAGCCTACCTGGTTGGGTTGGATGGAGTAGCCATGCTTGTCTGCGTAGATCATTGCCAGTGAGACAGACACAGCATAACCCACGAACGTAATGGCAACCGTGTCGCCAGCGACCTCAGGCAACGTGTGCAAGGCAGGCATCCGTGGACTCGGGAAGCTGGAAATATGAAGTCCACCGTCAAAACATGGTAAAACTTTACACACACTCTCTAATGTTTCGAATGTTTCATTTTTCTTTTAATATAAGCTAAATGATGACGATGATGATGATGATATCACTAGATGGAGATGCTCAGTTAGTGGATACCTTACCCTGCAGGAATGTGGCCCACTATCTGAACGTCATAGTTCGAGTCCAGAGAGGAGGCATAGGCCACTCCTGTAGCTATTATCACCTGAGAGAAAGAGAGACATCAAATTGAGTTATAACACATCTATAAGCACGTCATAAACATTACAGCTACATAGAGCTACATTGAGCATTCCAAGCATTATGTGTCCTCCTTGTGACTGACCGTGAGGATCTCTACAGGGATGGGTGTGCGTAGCCGCTGTCGGAACCTCATGTTGAACTCTTTGACCGGTACCAGGATGGCCAGACAGACCAGGGAGGTCAGTAGCTCAGCTATGTTGGTGTGGGGAAGGTTCTCTATGACAGACGCCAGGGTCTGGAGGACAAAGACAGGGGGAATGTGTTAAAAAAAAAAAAGTCATTTGAGTGCATACATTTTTTTATTTTTTTATACACAGGGGGTAATGTATTACATCGGCCATGTTGGTGTGGGGCAGGTTCAGTGGGGAATGCGTTATAGTGAAGAGAGGAGCAACTATTTCAATAGTCTCTTCCCACAGCTCTGTGTTTATGATTGTCAAGTGTCTCTTAAAAGGTTCAATTTAACCTAGTGAGGTTTTGAGAGCTCCCTCAGTTCTCTTTCAGTTGAGACTTGTTCTCTCCTTCAGAGAACCTGGGTTATGATAGTGACCCGTTTTATCCTAACTTTATAATTCCACAACATACTGGAGTTCTAAACCACTTTAAACTGAATACAGTATTATCCTGATCATTGTCACTTATCTGACTGCTGACCTTGAAAAGTGAGAAGGGGCCGGTGTGGCGGGGGAGCCGCAGTCCCAGCATGCTTTGCAGTTGTGAGATGGTGACATGGAAGGCTGCAGCGCTGGTGAATGCCTTGACGATGGGTTCTGACAGGTATGTAGAGAGGAAACCCAGCTGTAGCCCAAACATACAGAGCTGGGAAACAAACAACATTTAGTCAGGACTACAACATCTAAACGCCATAGAAATACCATCCATCTATAGGGCCACGCCATCTTAAACTTGTCCTTTTCCTTGCTTCCTGCTTAAAACATCATAGGGAAGTGAGGAGAGCAGATCTTCTGATCTTGTCCTCCAATGCTCTCCTCACTTCCCTCTGAAGTTTTGAGATGGAGATGAGGAGAGAGGACGCAGGGAATCGAGGGAAATACTTTTGAGATTTAACCAGAGAGAACCCTATGTATCACTCACCATCATGATCCCTGAGAGCAGAGCTACAGCGGAGGCCACCCCAATCCTCTGGGCCTCAAAGTCGGCTGCCTCTGGACTGGAGGAGTTGAGCTGTAGAGGGGTGGGCACCAGCTGTTCCACCACTGAGCCTGTCATCAGGCTCACCACTGCAAAGGTACCTGGGAAACACAGACACAGCTAGTCTGTGATTCAGCCACTCAGCACCTCTACCAAAACAGCCATAAGGCGGCTAAACAACACAGCTACGAAGCGACTCAGCATCAGTGTGAGCACAGATGTAACGGAAGTGGTTTGGTGAACTAGGCTCTGTTCATATACAGTCGCTAGTGAAATGTTACATTCAATGTGGATCTACACAATCTAGTCCACATTGAAATGGAAAAACAAAAAACGACGCTGTCTTGATTGCGTAATTCTTCACTCCCCAGAGTTAATACTTGGTGGAAGCACCTTTGGCAGCCATTACAGCAGGTAATCATTTTGAACAAGATTCTACTAACTTTGCACAACTCTTAGGGCAACATTTATCTCCTGTTTTTTTTTCAACATTTCTCAATCTCAGTAAATTTGGTTGTGAATCATTGATGGACAGCAATATTCAAACCTTGTCTCTGATTTTCAAGCAAATTTAAATCAGGACTAAGACCGGACCACTCAGGAACACTCAACACCTCTTGGAAAGCCATTCTAGTGTGGCATTAAAATGTGTGTAATTGTCCCGCTGAAAAGTAAAGCTCTATGCCATGGTTAGGTTTTCAAAAGAGGCTGGTTTTCCTCTAACCTTTTACCTGGGCTTTGCTCCTTTCATATTTATTTTTCTCCTGACAAACTCCCCAGTCCCTGACGGTGGCAAGCATACCCATAACATGAAGCTGACACCAATTTAATAATGTTTAGATTCCATTTTAAGGCAGCAAAATGTGAAGACTGTTCAAGGGGTATATAGGCTTTCACTAGGCCCTCTTGGGTTTCCAACCTCACCTGCACACCTTTTTACCTTGTTTTTATCTGCACTTCGTCTTTCACTTGTGTGAATAAACAAAAAAACTATGATGATTAACTTTGACTTTAGCTCAGGGGGCTAACACAGTCTTATGGGGCAGAGGCGACCCTGGTTCGAAACCCAGTAGCTGTCACACAGACACACATGGCAGAGGATTTATCGCAGGTACATTGCGTGTCCTATCCATATACATTTTTCAGGCTCCAGTCCTAGATTAATAATATCAGAGTGTGTATACCAGTGGATACATGCCGTCCTGTGCCAAAGAGCATGTAGAGGACCACAGGGAAGAAGGAGGTGTAGAGGCCATAGATGGGCGCCACTGACGTCAGTAAGGCAAAGGCCATACCTGTTTTCAGGAAGAGAAACAAGATATTATGCTACAATCGGTTGCCATCACATACACCTGTGGCTACATGAGTAATTGGTGACATTTTTAGATAAAAGTCTTTGATATTGTGGCAAATTATTGGCAAATAATGTTGCCAATAAATTCTATGAAATAACACCTGTTTTTACTGTATTACTACTAACAATGCTGGTATTTTCTTGACTCCGTTATCTCAATAGCGACTGTATAACATCCATTGAGATTACATTTTTGAGGTTCCATTTTTCCTATCACGCTCAGATGAGAATACATTTTGAATTCGTTTTACATTTTGTAACAACATTATTTTGTACATTGTGTGTGTGTGAATGGCATATTGTAAAATATACATTCAAACTCATAAATAATCTGGGCTCTGTGTTATTCTGGATCCTTGGGAGATCCATATTCCATTGAAGTTGACGTTTAAAATGGTTAAGGTAAGGGTTAGGTTTAGGTATGGGTAATGGTTATGGTTAGGGTAAGAGTAGGGGTTAAGGTTAGGGTTTAGGGTAGGGACGTCCCGAGGATCCCAGATAGCACTGACCAATTATCTGGAGTGGACAAAAAGTCCATCTTTGAAGGTGTTTATTTCGTTTATAATGAGCAACTTGACAAAATCTTCTTAAAATCAATCAAACACATGATTGGTTGGTAATTGCTGCCAAAACAGTGACACGTGAGAAATAAAACTTCATCCAATTTGTGAGTCGTTCTGGATAAGAGCGTCTGCTAAATGACGTAAATGTGCCCTTGAGCAAGGCACTTAACCCTAATTGCTCCTGTAAGTCGCTCTGGATAAGAGCGTCTGCTAAATGACTAAAATGTAAATGTAAATCACAGAATTGGGGAACAGGTTAGTGTAACAAAATAGTTTGTAAAGTGGTGTAGTTTGTAAAGATGGTAAATCGACATCAAACGACATCCATTTACTACAGTAAACCTTTGCTCACAATATTAACTTTAAAATTGACTCACCTTGTGGAATGTGAAGTATACCAACTGTTAGTCCCGCTATTGTATCTCCTAATATCCATTTTTTCAGTCTGTACTTCGGCAGCCAGTTAAAAATGGGCACTCGTTCCCGCAACAGGTGAAGGCATGCTGCACGCGAACACCTGCACCGTTCCGCGATCTTCTCCCGAAACCGTTGACCACCTCCATGGGTCTTGGCCTCGGTACCGTACGACTGTCTGAACCGGTCCTCGGTGTAAATATTCCGGTATACAGCCACTGAAGCGCTCATCTTGTCCTCCAGGTGAGTGTTTACGTTGTCTTGTTGAAACTTGGAAAGAAAGTTCCAATTGTAATCTTAGAAGATGAGACAGAAAATATGCTCTCTACTTCTTGTCATATATAGTAGGAATCCGTCTCTGGTTTGACATCAGAAACCATATAATTTTCCTGTCAGGTGTTTGTCAGCCAATGACATGGCTCAATGCTGAAACTTTTTGATATTGTGTTGAACTTTCTTTGGGGTTTCTTTCTTAGCCTACATCCTTGTCCCTGGCAGAGACCCCATAAAGGTGTGCTTGTGTCCAACGTTTGTGTTGATGGATGTCTGGTCCATAACAATCTGCAGGGTCCTACTGCTACCAAATTTATACTTTAGAAATAAAAAAAATGTAACCAGTGAACACCCATACTCTATTCCTCTCTTCCTGCTATTACTCAAACCACCCCCACCACTTGACTTCACCAGACACACACACACACACACACAGAGTATACTTAACTATTCAAAGAGCCTAGCGTCCTCTTAAAAGTCATACAATGTACAGCTCTGTGTAAAACTCCACTGAGATCAAAGTGGTATTGTTGCTAAAGTGGAGGTATAGTGTAACCTCTAACCATATCTATTAGAAATTATAAGAGGTGGTCATTTCCGAGAAGGATAGATTTCTGTATAATAGCTCTTGTCTCTGGGGTGTTTAAATCACCATAGCCCATAGGGAATAGGCCTGGGAAACCCTGTGATTGCCATTGCCCATACATAATTAGTCTGGATGGAAAAGAGAGACAATCGAACCCTGTTCTGTGAAACGAAATCAGACACGTTGAGCTGCTGCGGTTCATTGATCAAAACACACCTTGACTCTGATGATGAGTGAGCGTTTGTGTGTGATGAAGTTCTCTGATTTTCAGAGAGAGATGAGAGAGGAGTCAAACATATATCTTTCTGTGTCAGATTTGACACTTTTCAGACATTTACCAAAAGTATTATTATTTTCTCCAGTTTGGAAGTAGCGTAGCGAGCTTTTCTATTGCAATTCGGTAAAAACGTTGTTAGAAGTTGTGATGCAGGTAATTCATGGATGTGTTTTTCTAGCATGTCCAGATTGAAGCAGTCATATACAAAAGATCCTCCATCATGAGAAATGGGTGAGGCAGTTTCCCCTATCCATTGAGTCAGGAGAGTGAACATGTCTGTTGAGCAGCAGAGTGAGTGAACGTGGTGTAGGTCACTAAGCTTGGCTAACACCACCATATCCCACTGCATTATAGGCTACTGTATTCAATGAGGGAGTGGAAGATTGCAATCTAATAAGCGGTGGTTCAATAAGAGCCCAGAGAAAAATAAACAATGATACAATGTAAAACGGAGGGAGAATTTATTTTGGTTAGAGCCCAGTGTTGGGCCCGATGAATGAATGAGCTCCACCCTACTAAAGTGGAAAGTGGTGCTGGGCTCCAAGTCCGTGCAGAGGCACACACATCCAGGGCACCAGGCACAGGCCACGTCTTTTCACTGTCATACGTGCAGGCCAGCACACAGTAATGACACTGGTGGCAAAGTTTGGGCTTGAACCTGGACAGACGTTCAGCAATGACACAATGAGACCTCACATTTCAGATAAAATATTTAAGTTTGACCTGAGACTTACGGCCTATGCTAATGAGATTTTTGGGCACCCTCACCCTAACTCATCTCAGAGAGATATTTGAGAGAATCTTTAAGAAAGGACTGCCCAACCCTGTTCCTGGAGAGCTACCGTCCTGTAGGTTTTTGCTCCAACCCTAATCTAGCACACCTGATTCTAATAATTAGCAGGTTGATAAGATGAATCAGGTTAGTAACACATGGGGTTGGAAGGAAAACTTACAGGAGGGGGCAACCCTGCTCTAAGAGGTCACATTTGGTGGCCCCCATAAATGTCCATATTTTCTTGCAATGATGTTATTAACATTGATGTTACATAAAGCGAGCAAAAGATCATGTTATTACTTTTTTACCACATTGTTATTTCATGGGTGAAAGCAAATTACTCAATAAGCTGAGTGAAGCTTTGGAGCCAAGGAGGGTTTGGTCCAGGCGTGGGGTCTTACAATACGATGCATAAAGAGTGTAGACTGGATTCGTTCCAAATTGTGTCTCCACTTTAAATTAACAAAATAAACAGCAAAGTGGTGCCGTGGAGGGATGTTTGTGTTCTGAAAATCCTATATTCCTATAATTTGTGTGTGTGTCTGTGTGTGTGTGTGTGTGTGTGTGTGTGTGTGTGTGAGGAATGTGTCCATTGTGTTGATCAGCTCTAGAGAATATCTGAACACTGATGGCGTGGTGTTGTCTCGTGGCTGTTTAAACAAGATATTAATCAGCAGTGAAAAGGAACAATGCATGAATGGAAGAGGATATGGGGCATGGTCTGGTTAACCCCTAAAGCTAGACTGCTTTCCAAGACATAGACTTGTAGACAGGTCACAATAAAGCTTAAACAATGACAATGTAAATACCAGAGTGACAGAGTGATCCATAGAGGGGAGTTCATATTTACAATTGAATCAAGATGGATATCCAAATGAGTTTACAGTACATTCAGTTACTAAGTCACAACTGTCAAGCAATGCAAAATGGCATTTTATGTTGTAGAACTTAGAAAGTATTTGTGAAGCATCTAGCCTATGGTAGTGTTCAGTGTTTCCCCTAGTATTTTCTTTCAGCAGCAGTGGGTGGGGGGGGGGGGTGGCTCTTCGCTGCGGGGTCCGGAGACATGTCCCAGGGGATTTTTTTTTGTAGAACGACCGTGAAAAGGTCCCTTCTGCTAACTTAAAAAAATACATTCTACTCCAAAATTCATGAAAATGTAATTATGTTGACACCATCTGAAATATAATTGATGCGCACCACTGCACTGTAGGGAGATGATGAGGAGTAAGAGGTTGCTGTGTGCTCGTGGCTCTAATTCGCACCACTGCTTGCTCTGTTTGCTACAAATATATGTTGTAACTTGTCACTCTGATCTTAAATGAATAGTGCAAGGTAGTTTCGTGAGCCATTGCTAACTATGACAGGAACAGCTAGCATGCTAGCTGGCTAATGCTAGTTAGCAATTGTGCTAACGCTAGCTAGCAACTTCCTTCAAACTGCATGCAGAGACAAAAATGGTATCCATGAATTCATTAGACTCTGGGTAAGAAGAAAAAGGGCTTAATTGGCTAAATCTATTTTTTATCATCATTTTTTGGAGTGGCGGCAACGATTTAGCAGGTGAAACAGTGTTTATGAAGATTTTACGAATGCTCTATAAAGCTTTTATAAGTTGTGATTTGTTTAAAGTGGGACCCATTATTTCAGTAGAGGGGGATTGTTATTTTGAAGATGCGAAATCATTATTTGAATGAAACAAAGTCTTGGAACAGCTACAGAAAAGACTGGTGTGGGGAGTTCTAAGGGTCATACGAAAATAGTTTTAGATGGCTTGGCAGAGTTATGCTTGGCAGAGTCTTCTTATGATCCCACTTTCCTTGTTGCATAAACATTAATTACATTATAAAAATATCTCATCCACCCCTGCTGTCTCCTCCATCTCCTCCTTAGTGAGTGTGTGTGTGCCTGCCTGCATGTGTGTCCTCAGTGTGTGTCCTCCTCCGTCTTGCTCCCCCTGGGTTAAGAGGGACTGTTATGCACAGGGTTTTTCCATTCTTCTCTGCCTGGGAGGGGTCGTGACTCGCCAGTGATTTTGTGTGCTATAGTTCCTCCTATTGTTGCTTATCTCCTTTATGGTGACCCCCTCCCCCCAGTGGCCCTGTCCTTTGGATCTGACCTTGTCTATGAGGATGGCGGGCCTGGCGGGTGGCGGGGATGGCGGCCCACCTCTCCTGCTAATCCTCGTGTCCCTGTCTCGTCCAGGTCTCGTCTCCTTGCTGTACCTCTCCCATCCCTTTCCGCCCACTTACTCCCCATGCGCCTCTCCTCTCCATCCCATTTGGGCTCACCACACCTTTCTCTTTTATTTGATCTACTCCTTTATCAGTCGTTGGCCATCATGTATCTGCTGATTGTACATGCTCAGACAGTTGAGCTTGAAGGTTATTGCTTTCTGTCATAACTCTTATGTAACTTCCACACCAGGACACCATCCTAACATGTTGTGGGGAAGAGCCAGTCCAAAGCAAAATATCTCCTTCTGATGTTTATCTAAGCCCAATATAGCTACAAATAACCAGGTTCTGCGTAAATTCTGTTCCCAGTACTTTGCCAAGGCATGTTGTGTAAAATATTGGACCACATACGATGAATCATTTCAACATTAGAAACATTTCATAGAGCATGTGTAATGAGGGAGATATTCTTTGTTGCATCTCCAACAAATATCAATAAGTATTAGAACAGGTCCTGCCATTCTAGCTGTGTGTGTGTGTGTGAGTGTGTGTGTGTGTGTGTGTGTGTGTGTGTGTGGTTAATTAAGCTTGTCTTTATTTCCCCAGATGACTCCTATGATCTAATTACTCCTTGTCAGATTTCCTTGGAAATGTTCCTCCCTTCAAGTTATGAGTTGCAAGGAAGACCTTGATGTTTTCAGTGCTCTCTTATGCATAGACTTTTGGTAGACATCCTTTTTTATGGTTAGAACGTTACACTACTTCCACAATGAATTGTTGCATTTTGTAAAAAACTAAAGTGATGATTAATTTACAGGATATTAATCATTTTATGTTCATGGACTGAGAGTCCAGTGTAGACCTGCATGAGCTGTGCTTCACCTTCACAACCCTTGAGGCGTGAATACGATAGTAGGAAGTATAACTATGGCCAACGCTGTCCACTGATCAGACATCTGTGGGATCAATCTCCGGGGCGAATGGGTAGCACCCTGTTACCCTTCCCCTCATCCATCATTCCCTTTCCCAATAACTGTAAATGGACCGTTTCTCTGTCTCTGGCTGACGTCCTCTTGGCTCCCGCAGGATGGGAATGTGTACTGTAGGTGTGGGTGTAGGTGTGCTCATGCTGCATCCTTCACAGTGCTATTTTAGATCCTTGTTCCGGTAGGCCATGTCACGCCAAATGGGGAAACAGATGTTTGAGT